CATCACTAGTCACGTAATTATAAACAACATCACTAGTCACGTAATTATAAACAACATCACTAGTCACGTAATTATAAACAAGATCACTAGACACGTAGTTATAAACAAGATCACTAGTCACGTAGTTATTGATCACTCGACACGTAATTATAAACAATATCACTAGTCACGTAGTTATAAACAAGATCACTAGATACGTAGTTATAGATCACTAGTCACGTAGTTATCGATCACTAGACACGTAGTTATAGATCACTAGTCATGTAGTTATAGATCACTAGTCATGTAGCTATAAACAAGATCATTAGTCACGTAGTTATAGATCACTAGTCACGTAGTTATAAACAAGATCACTAGTCATGTAGTTATAGATCACTAGATACGTAGTTATAAACAAGATCACTAGTTACGTAGTTATAGATCACTAGATACGTAGTTATAAACAAGATCACTAGTTACGTAGTTATAAACAAGATAATAAAAAGCAGTGTTAAAACAACAATGATTTAAGGAGCTTAGTTTACCTGTTGTAGTTATAGATCACTAGTGACGTAGTTATAGATCACTAGTCACGCAACTTAGTTTACCTGTTGTAGTTATAGATCACTAGTTACGTCACTAGCGACATATCCTACAAAACACTAACGACATATCGTACAATAAATTATCGGTACTCCGTATACGGTATAAATAACAGGACTGCTTGTTCAATGAACGTGAAATATACAGTACCTCAAACAATATTCACTCCAAAACGTATTAGGTTTAACCCTAAAGATTAGAAACGTACGTGTACATCAATGTGGTTTTGTACTTATTTTTTCTATCGTACGTTAGATTAAGCCTAACGGTAAACATTACGTTTATTTTTAGAACTTAGGTAGCCTTATATTTATAGATAATAACTCTAGTTTAGAATCTTTAAATGTTTATATAAAGTAAATGTGTTGACAACGAGAAGAGTTTTTGACTGGAAATATTCCGGTTTTAACAAAATCGATTAAACGGTCATCGTAGCAGTGTCAAGTTTTGCTGTTACCAAATGCTTTGATGTTCTTTTACCTTGCCGACAGAAACGTTCTGAGTAATTCAGTATTGATTCTTTTTATTTTACAAAAAAAAAAAAAAAAATAGTTGCGAAAGATGTTCTAGTAAAAAAAAATTGGATAAAAATCTTTTGGATATTTTTATTATTTCTCGGGAAATGTTTACACGGTGCTGATTTTTACTTGTCTATTTCTTACTCTTTACAAACAAAATAAAATAATAATAATAAAAAACAACAGAGGGCGCGGTTATTCAATAAGGAACGATGGGATTCAGATGTGAGAGAAAACAGCTGGTTGAAGCACATTCAGTAAACTAATTACACGTGAAATATCTGTAGTCAGAGGTGTATAATATCTTTAGACTTACTTTTAGTACAAGTTCTCTAATCATTCCTTCTCATGATATTTGTACAAAATAGAGAAACATAAGCACTCCAGAATCAAGTTTATATTTAGAAGGAAAACGTCTCTCTCAGCTAAAGTATTGAATTTTTAAAAATTTTCAATTTACAGTAGAGAATAAACTCTATAATAATATTTCGTGTCCTCTGTCTGTTTAGATCGTGGCAAACTCGGTGTTTCTGTTATGTGCTGTGAAAGTAGGTTACTATCACAGACAAATGAGGGATCGAGCATTAGACCGAACGTTCACCGGAACAAGAGGGGTAATAGAGTCACGTATCAAATTGGAGTATGAAAAAGAACAACAGGTAAACTAAGCTTTTTTATGATATGTCGTCAGTGTTTTGTAGGATATGTTGATAATGCTTTTTGTGATATGCCGGTAGTGTTTTGTAGGATATGTCGCTAGTGTTTTGTATGATATGTCGTTAGTGTTTTGTAGGATATGTCGCTAGTGTTTTGTATGATATGCCGGTAGTGTTTTGTATGATATGTCGTTAGTGTTTTGTAGGATATGTCGCTAGTGTTTTGTATGATATGCCGGTAGTGTTTTGTATGATATGTCGTTAGTGTTTTGTATGATATGTCGCTAGTGTTTGTAGGATATGTCGTTAGTGTTTTGTATGATATGCCGGTAG